CCCCAAAACCCCAAAACCCCAAAACCCCAGTTAAAATTTTAATTATAGAAATATAATAATAAAATTCAAAATGAGCCAGGAAGAATCCAAAATGCACACTGGTTATGATGACGACCAGAAAGGCCAAGATACAGCAGACATGGGCATTGAACGAGATAAGTTGAAGAACAAAAGTTTCCTTGAGAAAATCGATAGGGTAAGAATCAGAACGGTTTTAGCCCAATCCTTATTAAATTTAAAATTATTCACGGGTGATTAACATTTAAATAGAGCAAAGAATTTGAAACATTTGAAAGAGAATTCCAAGACTTCCTACAAGAAATTGTTGGAGATGAGCTCCTTGAGAGATTCAGAGAGCATTATGAATTACTTAAGACTTCATACAGGACTGAACAAGACCTGATCAAGAAATGTCTGGAGCTAAATAAGAAAGCTCTAGATAGCGCAAAGGAAGTCAGTGCTGCCGTTAGATTGGCGACTGCAGAGATGGAGAAAATAGAAACTCTTAATATCAAAGCTGAGAAGCACCTCAATAATCTTTCTGAAATGAAGATCAAAGAGGAAGAGTCTAGAAAAGAAATCGAGAAGCTAAAATCAGGTATAGCAAATCTCAAAAGACAGCAAGGACTGTCTACCGAGCTTGAAGAAGATATTGAACTTAGAAAACTCAAGCAAGAATATGATCAGCTCATCAAAACCACCAATGATCAGTCTGACACTATCGTTAATCTCAAGCTCAAGAATACTAGTTTAAAGGATGAACAACTGAAGCATGAGACTGAACTCGATAACATGAGGAGAGATCGTGAAGAGTGTCGCCAAAACATCGATACAATCAACCTTCAAGTCCTAGACCTCAAGGAGCAGCGTTCCAAACTAGAAGACGAGAAGAACAAGATGAAGGCTCAAAAGAAAGAAGAGAAGAAGAACTTAGAAGAAAAACGTAAAGAAATAGAAGAAACTGAGAACAGCTTGCTAAATACTAAAGAAAAACGTGAAAGTGTTCTCAAAGATATCGATATATTAGACGAAAACAATAAAAAACTCAAAGATACCTATGTAGAGCTGGATGAGGAAAACAAGAAGTTACAAAGAGACATTATAAAGTCCCAGTCTCACTTAGAAAAAGAGGCTAAGGACAATGACCACATCTCTGTTGCTTTTGAAGAACTCCAAGAGTAAGTCCTTTACTAACCCCTATAGAGAGGTAAAGAAGTTACAGAAGGAGTATGATTATCGGTTCAAAGAGAACCAGCTGATCGGCCGCAAGAGAGATACCGCCCAGCTCGAGGAGGACAAGATGAAGAACGAATGCAGAGATATAGACGACAAGCTTGAGAGAATCAAGGCTATCGTCAGTGAAAAGAAAAAGAAGATTGAAGATAAGCTTCGTGAAAGAGACTTGTTGAATAAAGATGTGGTCGATAAGCAGAATATCTCAAGAGAGAAGGAGAGTGAACAGAAGAATTTGGATAATGAGCTTAAGAAGTTGAAGAATAAGGTTGAAGGATTTAAGAACGAGACTCAAAAACTGAGAGAAATGATCTCCCAACTTGAGAAGGATAAAGATAAATACGGAACTGAGGCATCCCAAGCTAATGCTAAATATTATCAATGCATGGAGAAAGTCAAGATGAAGAGTACCCTTATCACCAAACTCCAGAAGAAAAACGCAGAGGCTGAGGCTAAGCTAAAACAGCAACAGAATTTGTATGAAGCAGTCAGATCTGACAGAAATCTATATTCTAAGAATCTCCTTGAAGCTCAGGATGAGATTAGTGAGCTCAAGACTAAATTCAGAATCCTAACTTACAGAATTTCACAGTTGAAAGATGAAATAACTAGTAAAGAGCAAGCTATTCAGAAGGAAAGATCTGATCTAAACAAATATGATAATGAAAACAAGAACCTCGATAGTGATATCAAAAAGAAGGAGAAATACATAGAATCCCTTGACCAAATGATCAAGACTCAGGAAGCTGACATTGGTAGACTTAAGTACGTCATCACAGAAGCTGAAGCTGAAAAGCAAAAGCAAAGAAAAGACTATGAGATGGTCATCAATGAAAGAGATATCCTCGGAACCCAACTCATCAAAAGAGAAGAAGAGTTACAACTTCTATATGAAAAGATCAAAATTCAGCAAAGTACATTAAAGAAGGGAGAGATCTATTTCCAGAAGAAAGATATTGAAATCCAGAAGCTTAAAGAAACCATAGCTGATATAAAGAAACAGATCATTGTTCATGAGAATGAGACTGCATGCATTATCGATCTCAAGAAAGAAATCTACCTCCTTCAGAAAGAACTTCTTGAACAAGAACAGAAAGAAAAGATTCTCAACCAAGAACTTGAAAAGCCCATGAATGTTCACAGGTGGAGGAAACTCGAGTGTACCGAACCTGAAATTTATGAAAAGATTCAGAAAATACAAAGTTTGCAGAAGAGACTCATCGCCAAGACCGAAGAAGTCCAGGAGAAAGACGGCTTGATTCAAGAAAAAGAAAAGCTCTATGTCGAACTCAAGAACATTCTTGCCAAGCAGTCTGGTCCTGAAGTTGCTGAGAAGCTTTCAACATACCAGCAGAACCTCAAAGAGAGGACCAAGCAACTCAGAGAGATGGCCAGCGAGTTGAAGTCGTACCAGTCCCAGGTCAACGCTTACAAGTTCGAGATCGAAAGACTTGATAGAGAAACTGGAGAAGTCAAGAGACAGTACTTCGACAGACTTAGAAGAGAAGGAAGGAACTTGCCTGCTGACGGAGAAATCATCGAAGAAGAGGAAGAAGGAGACGGCAGGCCAGACAACCAGCCTGAACAGTATGACAACTACTATGGAGAGCAGGTGCCAAGCGAACTCGAGCAAGACAACCAGATGGCCGACCAGCCTGACATGGAAGACCACCCTGACATTGAGGACCAGCCAGAGCATGAGGCTGAAGGCGAAGGTCACCCAGATGTTCAGGATGATCCAGCCGAAGAACAGCAACATGATGCTCCAGAGCCACAAGACGTATCTGAACAGCCTCCTGCTGAACACAACGACGAAGAAGACAAAGTCAACGAGTAATGGAGTCGGCCAAGACATATCATCGATGAAATAATTCAACTGAAAAGTGGATTCCTGGGGTTTTGGGGTTTTGGGGTTTTGGGGTTTTGGGG